ACATATATATATATATACACACACACATATATATATATATATATACACGCACACATATATTTTTTTTTTATCTATTATTCTTTTTTTTTATTACATTTTACACCATTTTTTCTTCGAACTTTTCTACACACCTCCTAGCACATTCTTCCCCAGTTTTAAAGCCTCTGACCACTTTTATGAAACTGTTATGGTGCTCTTTGTCATTTTGGAGCTCGACAGCTAACATTTTTGTTATGGCAGAAAAGAATTTATAGGCATTTGGAACCACATGAGGATGAGCAAATGATAACAGAATTGTCATTTTTGGGTGAACTGGCCCTTTAAGGGCAGATGACTCAAGGATCTGTTCCTCCAGTCAGTCTGCAGTCTGGATCAGATAAATAGTTTCCTTGTCTGAGCTCCATCGACACAACTTTGTCAACCTGGAGACACTTTTTTTTTCTTGTTCTCTGTCTCACTGCACAAATACACAGGTACAAACTACCTCTCTTGTGTTCTTTCCCTTAACTCTTGTATAAGAAGGCAACCCCTTGGCTGAGGTCTGGAGGTCTGCCCACCGTCTCTTTGGCTCCCACCTGAACTTGGATTTAGTGTAAGCCAGGGGTCTGCATTCCACTGTGGAAATGGCCAAAGGTAGTCTGGGATCAGGGCTTTTTCTTTGGCAGGGCCTGAAAAAAGTCTTCAGTCAGCTCTTTCCAGATCCGCAGCAGGCAGACGCAGGGCTTTATATGATCCTGAGCAACTCAAGAAGTGAAACAGGGTTATAGAATAGGAGGCAGATGTCTGACTAGATAATGATATTCCCGACTTGTTGTGTGAGTGTGTGTGTGCATGTGTAGTCGGATGGGAGGTTTGATGATCATGACTATGTTGTGTAAATGTGTTTGTAGCCAAACCCTCATATCTAATGATCTGGCAACCCATCAAAAAGACCTCAGCTGCCTGGGAGAGAGAGAGAGAGAGAGAGAGAGGCAGTGGGAGTCTGTGAGCTGATCTCTGCCTAATTTGAAAATCCTGGAAAGAAAACAAAGGCGGAAGAAATCATGTTTTTTTTTTTTTCATGAGTCCTGCGAAGAGAGAAGGCAAGCAATTAAAAGTGGCTGAGAAAGGGAAGCATTGTTATTGAAGAACGCCGCTGCATTTGGCACCTTGTTACCGTGGAGACACGTGACCATAGCGACCGGAGCCGGCCGATGAGGGTTTAAGCAGATCAGCAGACAATGGAAGTGCTCTGAGCTCCTACTCCGCAGTGCAGTGTGTGTGTGTGTGTGTGTGTGTGTGTGTGTGTGCGCGTGTGTGGGGGCTCACTTGTGTCCTTATAAGGGTTGAGTAAAATTCAGAAATTAGGAATTGCTCTCCTTTTAAATCACAAATGTGAATTTGAATTGAATTGACCATGAACCCCAGGATGCTAAATTGGAATTTAAATGGGCATGACAAGAGGAATTTACTGGTATGCAATTCAAAAGAAGTTCAACAAAGTCACGCATCAAAAGAGTTTCATTAGTTCAGCACGGCAACAAAATGGCCAAGAACAGATCACTTTTCAACCTGCTTCATGTAGTTTGGCTCAGACTTTAGGGAAATTTAAATTGTAAGTTAATTCGCCATTTTATTATCGGCTATTAGTTAATATAGTGAATACAACATATCTATATATTATTTTACATTTTTTATATATTTTATTATTTTTGTGAAAACAATTCGGTTTCATGCTGTAACTCTAAATTCTTTCTCCAGTCTCAAATTCACTAATCTGAAATGCATCCACTAATTTAGCTTCAAATGAATTTTACATTCTCAGATGTTAGTTGTTTTGTGTTTATGTTTGTTGTCTGTATTTATTTCGTTTTATGTTTTACTGGATAACATGGCAAAAAATACAGATTCTTTGCTATTTATTTCTATTTTTGCAGTATTGCAAAATTATCAACAGTATCTTGGCCAACCAGCTTTACAAGAAAGCCCATGCTGGTCGACCACTATAGAATAAACCAACATTGAAATTCATGCATGTGTAAGCTAGTCTTTTCAGCAGGGTAGCTGCACAGATGTTGTCAGCAGGGCACACACACACCAACCAGCAAGCACACACTTACCCACAATCCACCACCCAGAGGGCCATCACTCAACTGTACCTGTTACTTTCCATCTTAGCGCAGAGAAGAATCCCCAGCCGCCCTAACCAAATCACATCCTGGAAATGAGCATTAATGAATCAAGGCTGCAGTGCATTAGGGCAAAGCCACTTGAAGTGGAACCGCCATGCAAGAGGAGAGAAAAGAAATGAAACGCTTCTCTAAGCCCCCGCTAGTCACGGCCATTTGCAGAAACAAAGAAGCCCATGTTTGAGTAAAGATTTGAGTTTATCTCAGCCCCATCGCAGCCCGAGAATACTCTGTTGGGATTGACGGGGTGTTGTGTGTGTGCGTGAGAAAGAAAAAATGCATGGTATATGTTTTTCTTAATGTTTTTAAATGGTGGGAATTGGTGGTTATGCCTTGGCACATTTCGCTTAAGATTAATATCAAACATCCTCCCTGGCAGCCTGCTTTTTATAAAGCACTGGTACCTGAGAGAGACAAAAAGATTGACTTCCTTTTCCTGTCTCTATTTTAGATGTCTTGGCAAAACACTCTCCTTCCTCTGATGTCACGGGAGATTTCTGCTCGTCTAGTTTACATCGGAAATCTCTGGCTTTAAACGGCAGCCACCGACGTTTTGGCTGCCAGAACTCGAAAACATCAGCTTAGATGAATGTATATTCGGTCTGAGGTTGGAAGTGAGTTTACAGGCTGTTGTCTGAAGAGGGAAATCTCATTGGCTGTCTCAGAAATCCCTCTCAGAATGTCACTCACTTTCCGAATACTTCCCCTCAGGGAAATGAAGGAAAAACACACACGTACGCACAAGCTCGGCTTTAATCATCTGTCTAAGTCTCACACTGATACGGCTGTAAATTAGAGTGGAGAATTATTCAGCATGGATTTCTTTTTTCCTTTGCTCATTATGAAAGCTTGTCGCGGGGCGGGGGAACTGTTAGCTCGAGGCTCTCGCGTCTGAAAGCTGAGCGGGGCGGCTGAACGGTTTACCTCTGAAAGCTTGAATAGAGACAGAGCGCTTCTGACACCAAGTGCTTGTACAGTTTATTCTTCAAGCGCAGGCAAGCACCAGCAGCACCAAGCTGTGCTAGCTGAGAGACAGACTGAAGCTCACATGTTTGTGAGTGTGTGTAAAGGCTTTTTTTTTTTACTGTTGGTGCACCCAAAGAGAATGTCTCTTTCAGAGCTCTTCAGAAACTGGTACATTTTACCTGGAGTAACCAGCCGTTTTGTGCTAGAAATGACTAACAATCCAGATACAATACTGGCATATCATCGTATCGTACATTTGATCATCGATGATCATGTTCTCCAGTATGATTTATGATGATTCAAATAGCATTTTTTTCTTCAGTAAGAAGCAAGAATACCTAACCAGTGTACAAAGGTGGTCACATGATAAGTGTCACAAATTGACTTATTTGATTGGTCACTAATCAAATAAGTCAATTTTGTGACACTGATCATGTGAACTCCTTTGTACAAACTGGTCAGATTTTCTTGGTTGGAAATAATGCAGAAACCTATTATAAATTACTCATTCATGTTGCATTAATGTCACATCATTAAACTGCTTATTTCCAGCTTTTAATTGGATTTTGAGTCCCATATTTTCTGTGCTGCATAAATGCACTTAGTCAGGAGCCATAACACAAGTGTCACATGCTTGAAAGCTGATGCTCTTCCACAGCTGAAAAATTCGGAAGACCTACGCTGATTGTCATGACAACGATGAGACGCAGAGTGAAAAGAAGGGCTCTATAGCGGTGCGAGACACTGAAGTGCCAGTGGGAAGACAAATATAATTTTAAGATTTCAGTGTTTTAAGAGAGTAATCAGACATTTAGTCATAAATATATACTTCTTCCTAGAAAAGAATAAATAGAAAATCATGACTTTTATTCACACATTGATATCTAGACCAGATAATGACCATAGATAGCTTAAAATCTTGAAAAGCAACAATAACTAGACTTAAGTCAATATGGTTTGCTATTTGCAACCCATTTTACGTGCATAATGTGGCATGTTTCCAGGTTAAACAGTATATTGAATGAGGAAAAATGTAAGGTGGAACCTGATTTTATTAAGGGAATATTGATTGGATGGTGAAAAGGTGGTGTTACATACCAGAATAAAGCCTTAGTGTTTGTTAAAACCATACTTAAAACCTTTTTAAAACCTGCTGGTTTACATTCTTCAACAGTCCGCTTGGCTAAAGTGATGAAAGTTATTACTGTGTTCATAAGTTTGGAGTCTCTTATGTTCATCAAGGCTGCATCTATTTGTTCAAAAATACAGTAAAAGCAGTAATACTGTGAAATGTTATTACAATTTGAAATAACTGTTTTCTATTTGAAAGTATTTTATTTCATATGGTCCTGTGATTGCGCAGCTCAATGTCAGCATCATAACTCCAGTCTTCAGCATCACATGATCCTTCAGAAATCATTTTAATATACCGATTTGCTGCTTAAGAAACATTTCTTATTGTTATCGATGTTAAAAGAGTTAATGCTCTTGTATATGTATATTGATACATTATATATTTTTGATATACTATGATATTTTTTTCCAGGATTCTTCAAAAGAACAGCATTTATTTGAAATGGAAATGTTTTGTAACATTATAAATCTCTTTAATCATGAAGACAAACATTTTCTTTAAAACAGCATGCTCTAATGAATCGTTCACAAAAAGGCCAAGAACGTGCCTTGGGACAGTAAATAGGGTTCATTTTGATTTCATGTTGACTTTAAGTAACTCTGCCGTCAGGACTGATGAATTTATACTTGCTACTTTAGAGAAGTGATTTTATACCGATAAGAGTCTACAACTCAACACTACTAACAGGAAAGAGTCCCTCATAAACTGTAACCAGAGCTGTACACGGCACAATGGTTTCTCATCATCCCAACCTCAGCCAAACCATCTGAGAAGAATTGAACTTTCTGACAAACTGTTTGACGGAGGGTCTCCTCGGAAAGATTAATCCTAATCAGGTTGGCATGTGAAAATGAGCGTGTGCTTACGTCTCTAGCCTAGTTCTGTGAAAGCGGTCATGTGACGGCATCAGATGACAGCTCAGGTCAGCGGTTGCAAATTGCAGACGTCTCTCTCTCTTTTGTCTGTACCTCACATGTGTTGGCACTCTCATCCCAGTGTGCATGAAACATAAACACACCCGTGGCAGGGCTCGACAGTGCGACCATTTCAGTCGCATTTGCGACTGAAAAAACAAAGACAGCGGAGCCGCTGCGCATCTCCATTCTAACACAGCGGTGTTTCATTTATGAATGAATGGGCATTTCTGAACGGATCTAGTGAGTCAGTGATTCATGATTACCCATTCATAAAGACAGTCACTTGATTCATTCCTGAATGATTCAGCCGTTCGAATGAATCAATTGAATGAATGATTCAGTGATAAAAATCAGTGACTTGCCGCCACCTGCTGGCAGTTTTAGTTTCATTTTTAAAGTATCTTTTCAGTTATTTAAATCATTTAATATTTCTATATTCAAATTTTTATATTTAAAACATTAATATCATCATGGATTTATGGATTTAATTGCACTCATTCCACTTCTGAGCTTCATTAAATGTCTGAAAGTACACCAAGCCACTTTTGTGTTCTTCTGTGCCACCTCTACAAATTAATTTTGTTAATACTGATTTCGATTGATTTTTAACTTATGTTTCTTATTCTACTCTTATTCTGTCGTTTTAATTACAATTTTTAAAAAGCTTATAAAATATAATTTTTTTAAGAATTTGACAGAAGATGACATACTTTTAATAAAGTTAGAGGAGTCAAATATTACCTCGTAATGGGAAGGCTACTTTTTGATAACGTTTTGGATTATTGATTAGAAGGTGCTCCTAAAATTTTGAACTTGCTCCTAAATTTTTTAAGTTAGGAGCACAAGTGCTCCTAAAAAGAAAAGTAAGCGTCGAGCCCTGCGTGGTGTGGAGCAGCTCTGCTGTTAAGTGAGCAATGCATCATCTCTGCAGAAGTATGCATGACACGTATTTGGATCACATTATTTCACTTGTTGAAGTGGAACAGCTCACGTCTGGCCCTCATAATAGGGCCCAGCTGCGGCCGTACAGGCCAATGAGATGAGTGAAAGAAGGAGAGGGTTTTTTGTGGAGAGCATGACTGCATGATCAGCCCGTTGACGCTAATGAAGTCGTCCAGATGTATTGTTGAATGGTAGCTCATTTCCTCTCCCATCCTTCACGTGGTTTGACCTGTAATAATGTGTGTTTGTGTTTGTATATGTGTGTAGGGTGCTGTGATAACGCCAGCCATGGACCACACCATCTCCATGCAGCCCGCTAACATGATGGGACCCCTGACCCAGCAGATGAACCACCTGTCCATGGGTACCACTGGCACTGTGAGTGTGTCCTCTGCCTTCATCGTAAGGCCTGTTCACCTTCTGCTGGTCTGAATCGCAGAGGAGCTGAAGAAAGTTAAATGCTAATTAAAAGTTTGCAAACTGTTATGGAAAAACAGAACAAGGAAGTTTAGCGCTAATTCAAAATACTTACTGTATAGTATATTACTATAAAGTGTAACTGTATATAAATAAATTAGTGCTGTGAAATGATTAATCGCATCCAAAATAAAAGTTTTTTACATGATAAATATACACAGTACACACACATATATTATGTTTATATAAATACACACACATGCATGTATATATTTAAGAAAAATATGTTTTGTTTATATATAAAATATTAATATTTATATAAAATATCAATTATATTTGAATATAAATATATATATATATATATATATATATATATAATATATACATGTATGTTTGTGTATTTATATATACATAATAAATATACACAGTACAC